ATAAAAGGCTTTATTGGCAAGTGATGTTTTGCTATGCAAGGAATTTGGTTTTGTGGAAAGGTGCAACACATAGACGAAAAGACAAACAGTTGACATAAATAACTCTTATAATTTGGAATAGACAAATGCAAGTTGTATAAAAAGGTGATAAGAATACAGAAGAATAGTGCAACATTTTGCAAAAGAAGAGCACCATGGAAGAGATTAGAACTGTTAAACAACAGTAGGAAATTAGATTCAATATGTGTTGAGATGGTTTTATTTAAGGGGGTGTTTTCCAAGTGTCAGTGGGGGACCTTGGCCCTAATGAATAGTGCAAGCAACAGACAGGAAGCAGCTTTTTATTCATTCAGAAGTGTAAGTTCCATGTTAATTCAATAACCTTCCTCAGACTCATCTTTTGAGGTCAACAAGTGAGCAGAGACCCTTGCAAGATCGAAGCCACCATTGAATTCCAGAATTATGTTGCTGAAGCTGGCTACACATTGAAGTAGCTCTGCTAGTTCGAGTCTGATTTTCCATTAGATGAACTTTGGTTCTGTCTTATTCTGGTTTGGTTTGGTGGTTTTGTCTCTACGGTTTTGGATGCTGTGAAGCTAAAAGGATTCTTTCCAATATATAGTAGCGGCCATTCAAAATTTCTCCACTTTCCTTGATGGCTCCTTGGCTGGTCCCATACATGTTCTTTGTAATCAATTTAAATTTCCTTTCTCTCATGATTTGTGGACATTAAGATCTAAAGAGAAGTTTCATCTTCTGGTCAGATCCTGTAATTCAGTGAAAGAGTGGAGTCAGAGTACAAATATACACGCCAAGGAGAAGGCCAGTGGCTGGAAGTTGGAGGGGATTTGCTGCCATCCGGCTGCCTTTTGATTGGGAATGGCCATTTTGAATGGCTGCTTCTATACTTTCATTTCTAGCATTGGTTATCATGTGTAACCATAGTAGCCATAATAAACTGGTCTTTTTAAACCTGGAAGCAGCTAATTAATCTCTTAAAAGCTAAATATTATACTTAAAAAAATCCCTCAAGCTTCATTTGAGTCAAAAGGGAGATGCTCTGGATGGATAGCAAGTGTAATGAGTCAAGCAAGGGCGTAGGTTTGATTTCAACTTTGGTAGGGACACTATCGGTCTTAAGTTGAATTGGTCTGATGTCATCGGTCCTACGCATTACGCATGCTCCTATTTTCTTTAATGTTTGACATAAATATCAGGGCGCATTTCATTCAAAGAGAAAACAGCATTTTTTTGCTACATTTATACAAATTTTATAAGGAATACACACACAAGATGCTGTTTTTAATGTTTGAAGCACGAGTGGCTCAGAATAATGTAAAACTGGGACAACCTTACACTTTGAAAGGGGTTCCATTTAAACTAACCAGTGACCAAGACGGAAGGTAAGTATGTGTCTTTTTAACCAAATATAGTCTTAATATGTTTGTTGTATGTGTATTTATCCGGTGTTTTCTAAAGGTATTATGCAGAGGTTAACAGAGGTAAAACCCACTCTTATTTTTTATCTGATATGCTGATATTCTCTGTATTGTAAAACAAAGCAAAACAACATATTCAAGGGACTGCAAATAGATTTATTGTATTTACATTTGCGTGGGAATTATAAAGGGAACTGACATCGAGAATTTAAAATATTGACTTCAATATACAAGTTGTGAGAAAAGAAGCAACTGCTGCAACAATGCTGTATTGTAAATTATAAACATGTTATTCACATAGAATTATTGGTAGGGACAAGGAGGCCAGGCCAAAATTTTGGTAGGGACATGTCCCTATGGTCCCCATGCAAACCTGCACCCATGGAGTCAAGAGAGGAAATTCAAGCCATCTGTTTATACATCAATCTTTNTTTTATAAATCAAAACCTTCTGACAGCGTGGGGATTTTACCCTTAAATGGCAAAATTGGGGTGGTAATTATGCAGTTTTACATTAAATATTAAGGCGTTTCAATTATGCACAAGTGGACTGCATCATGTTTACCAGGATAATTCAAGATCAATTTCCTAAATGAACGATGCTTGTTGAATCTGACGTGGCATTTTCATAGGAAGGAGAAAAAGAAAGAGTTCAGTTTGAATTCCCATAAGCCTGGCTCTAAGGTAGTGACCAGTTTAAAGTTCGGCATTTATCCTGGTACCATGTCTGTTTCCCTCTCTACCACTGAGCTTGTCTGTCTCCATCTGCGCATGTCTACCTGAGCTCGCTGCTGGAGTCATAGAACTCTGAACCTGCCTTCATGCTCTGAGGATTCCTGGAACCCTGGATCTGTCTGTTCCTGTTCGGATCGGTACCCCCGCTCGGGCTACGGATTCCAGAACTTTCCGGTTCTGAACAGTTTCCCTGACCTGGATCAGATTCCTGCCTGGTTACTGGGGTTCCTGCATTGGAGACACTCTGAGCCGCTTCTCTTTGGCGGTCCATTGGCTGGATCCTGCCTTACTTGGAGAGGATGAACTGAATTGTTGAACCAGAGTGTCAGTGGTGGGTTTTGCCCCGCCCCTCTGCAGCTGCTGAGGTCACACCTGCTCCCAATCTGCTGATTAGCCTGTCTTGGTTCAGTCTCCCCACATATACTCCATCTTTGCAGTGCTGGTTTGTTGTTTTGCTGCTTCCTCATCTCTGGCTCCCAACGTGAGTTTTCTCTGATGTTTTCTGTTTTTTTCATTCTTTGAATCTTTTATACATTTGGATTTTTGCCTCTGTTGCCTTATTAAATCTACAAAACTCACCTCTGCCTCCTGATCTCTGCATTTTGGTCCTCAAAAACCTCCACCTAACCGTGACACTTAATGTACAATGGTTGTAATGTAGTCCACTATATTTATTTTTCTTGTTTTCATAAATGTGCATGTTTTATCTTGCTTATTTAATATTTATACATCGACTTATTTATATCGACTTTAACTATTTCATACTTTTAGTTTGAGCTGCTCAGGAACCCTTAAAGCTAGCTTAATTTAATTTCATGTCAACGTGTTGAAAGGACAAAACTCCTTGAAACATTTGTAACATTTGCTTTTTGTATCTATGCTTCTTTTTCTATGCCTGCTTCTGTCTCCTTGAACCCCAGTGGGCCTCAGCAGATGGCTGCTCACACTGAGCCTGGTTCTGGTTTTCCTGGAGGTTTCCAGTCAATGAGTCGATCTAATCAACTGGTTTTCCTTAGATACAGTAGAAAACCTTGAATCAATCTGACTGGATTATCTAGTTAAATTGTAAAGTGTCTTGAGATGACATGTGTTTTGAATTGGCGCTATAGAAATAAACAAATCTGAATTGAATTCTGTAACTAAATTAGATTTTTTGAGCGATAGACAAACTAAAAATGAAGCGGTGGACTTGGCCCTCGGGGCTCACGCATGCAGATTCAACAGGCATTCCTCTGCGGTGTGGAAGAGAAGTTAGGATGGTCTTGAGCATCTTCTTCAACAACGTACGTGTGGGTTCTTACCTTTATTTCTGGAAACTAAGGAGGAAACTAGTTTTTGATTTGTGTTGCATTATGCTTTTGGTATATTTTCAGTAACCTTAGCTAAGAGCAATTTGTAAGCAGAGTGAGAATACCAAAACCAGCCATATAATTAAACAGCTAACAGCCTTCCACTAGCCTGACGTAGTCCTACTCAATTCTAGTCAGAATGAGTCTGATGCTGCTCCATAGAGCTGTGATTATGGGGCGTGTTTCGAAGGAACCAGGGAAAAAAACACCTCTGCACTCAATTGGATAGACCTACAACCAATAAGAGCAACGGAGTGCGTGACGTATGTTAAGCGACGCATAGTTGTTGTCCACAAAAATCAAAGCGTGCAGTTGCACGCCTAGAATAAGAAGATGAGCGTGAACGATTTTTGCCGGTGTTGCAAAAAAATTAATTTGCTGTCGATATCTTCTAGAACAGACCTAATACCAGAATCTACTCACCTCAACTCTCCAGCGGCAGCCATTGTTGTTGTCACCCAAGCGCGCTTTGGTGACGTGGTTGATTATGTTACTGTTGATCATCTGTCCATCATCGTATAAAGCCCGCCCTGACAATTTGATTGGCCCGCCAGGTATTGTGCTAGCATACTCGCGCTACTATTGAGCAATGCCAGACCGAACTTCCCGACCTCAAACGTTGTGGGCGGGACTAAGTTCGGAATGGCACCCAGGTTAGCCTTCCACAACTCTGAGTTACAAATAGGTTCAGTTTTAACAACAGATTGCTCTTTAATAGAGTTACACTGAAGTCACTTGAAGGGTTTTGAAGAACAGTCAACTCGGCCGTGTGTGTGAGCCTGTTAAAATTACATTTTATTTCCCGTTGTTATACCTGCATAATAATCATAAAGATAGGATAGATATTTGTCTTAAATCGCGTGTTTTGTTTTATTGTCTTCAGTCATGAAAACTGAACAAAGCAAAAAAAAACACTACTTCATAAATACATTTATCCAGTGTTATGACTCATTCATATAAAATAAAACATAATAGAAAACATTTCTGTTATTAACCTCTTATTGTTCATTGTCATATAACTACATAGTGAATTATAAAACTAGAGTCCTTGGTTGCTATGGTGATTAATCAAAGGGGAGGGAATAAATCTACAGATTATGTCAAACGAGTTAACATTTATTTTTTGATGTATATTTCTGTGTGCTGTTCTTTTTTTTAGTCAATGCAAACTACCACAGAATTGTTATTTTTTGCATTGACTTTCTCAGTAATTAGAAACAACCCCATCATGCCCACCTAACAGGCTTTAACCCCACCCCTTTGGCACCTCCTGGTTCCTCACACCCTGCCTACCCTCTTACCCCGACCCAACAGCCCTTGGGAGTCTATTTTTGCTACCCTTCACTAAATAAGGCCGTGGAGCAGGGCTATGAAAGTGTGCCAGTGGGGGGGTGGGGGTGTCCAGTTCTTACCCCGGTATAAAGGCGTTGGGACAGAAGGGCTTTCCTCTCCATTACTCCTCCTCCCTTACGTTGAAGTTCCCGTTGTCACTTTGGTTTTGCCCAGTTTGGACTCTGAATTGAATAACTGAACAAACCGAAGCAGACGGAGCCTGGAGGTGGTATTAGATGACCTACCGTTCCTACAGCATCAAGTGTTAAACTGCACCATTTTAATTGTTGGGTAGATCATTTTAAACTCTCATTTTGGGGGAGCTGCCCTCGCTGACCCCTGGACGGCAATGAGTGGAATGTGCGGACAGAAAGGACAAGACGGACAGAACAGAGTAAGAGATCATTTCTAATTTTGTTTTCCTTTGTTCCTTTTGAACATTTTTAACTAAAAGGTTACCAGAATCTCAGAGCCTTTGGAGACCTGGGAGATTTTTATATCTAACATGCAGCTTTTTTCTTTTTCTTTCTTACCTTCTCTACATTTCCCATTTTTACAGAACCTCCCGTTCTGCGGCCCCAAACATCCCTTCCTTTTCCCTGTATTTGATGTATTTCTTTCATTCACAGGGTTTCTACTTTTCCCCTGCCTTCCTCTTCTCTTCTTTCGCTCTTTCCTTCTGCCGACCCCTCCCACCGTCCGTCTTCCCGATTTGTCCTTCAGCACTGTCAGCACTGCCTATCTGGCTGCATCTCCTTCTCCGACAGTCCGATCAGCTGTCTCTCCTTCTAACTTTACATGGCCCGGTTGTGATGCGAAGGGACGGACAGCTGCTGGCTGACACATTTCAGTGCCCATCGTCCCATCAAACTCCCTCCTCTTACACAAACCATTCTCCTTTCATTTAATGATGCGTATTGTTTAATTTTGAGGGGATGCTACCTTTCTTTTAAGGTTATTTTTATTTCCTTGTTGGTCTGATGCCTTTTCCTCCCTTTTTATCCTGTAAGAGAAAAACTCCAGTGACCCTTTTCTTTTCTCTCCTCCTCTCCCTTTTCCCTCCTCCTCTTCCCTCCTCCTCCTTTTCTCTCTGCATCCTTAAACTCTCCATCGCTGATTCAGCTCTCAGGGAGGAGAGACTCCGCCTGCAGCGATTGCCTTACTCCGCATGGGCCGCCATCCCTCTCTGGATCACCTATGCTACGGTAGGTGCAGAAGTGTGTGTGCATTTGTGCTTAGATATTTGTAAAACATGTTTTTACACATTGCTTTGTTTTTGTGAGCCATCTTTCTGGGGTTGCTTCACACTGTCCATCTTCACAGGAAGATTCTGTGTTGTTGGTGTGAAAAAGAGATTTATTCTAAATTAGGAAGCGGGAGGATTTTTTTTTATTCCACTTTGTAAAAACTCTCCAAGCTGAGAAAACAACAAAATGATGACATGTTCACAAATATAGAAGATAATTTTAGGGTTAAAAGGTCAAGGTTGCTCTGGGAAATGTTCTCATTCAGGTTGTTTGGTGGACAGAAGTCGTGGAAACGTAAACCCCTGAAAAACAAGGATTCCTGTGAGTTTTAGGGAAACCGTGGGAAAATGTTGATGCACCCTGGGAGGCTGGAGACACTGAAGCAGGAATTTATTTCACACCAAAACCAGGATCTACTGTGGAACTTTGAAAGAAAGGGATTTTAACCTAATCTCCTTGAATGTGTGAAATTCTACTTTGATGATTTTATGTAATATCTTTAGACTTTAAATGGTAATTTTAAAGTTTAAATGTATTTATTTGTGTAAAAATGTTAGTGGGGTGTTTGCGTCAAGGTATCGCAAATTGGAAACAGTCTAACAGAGAAGTGGCACCAGGTGGGACAGACGTTTGTCAGTATCATAAATTAAAATCAAGGATAGTTTTTGAATTTGTGAAACTTGTGATGTTGAGCAGAAATGTCAGCTGAGACTTTCAGTGTCTCCGCTTGAGCTTTGGATTTTACTTTTCGATGCTGTTGGTGACTGACCGATGGTCTGAACAGGCTGATTTCTTTATGTCAGCCTGGGTGACAGGCAGCTGTTATCAGAGACGTCTGGTGAAGAAGTCCTTAAGTTCCTCTCCATGTTCTAACCTTAGTTCTGGAGCAGCTTTCCAAACCAGGCCTCTGCTCTATCTATAGACGGGACACCCGCAGGTGTCACTCTCCTCAGGGAGGTTTAAAGCAGAGGCCAGCTTCTAAAAGTGTCTTGCATGTGTTCCTATCTGTCCTCCTCCTCACCCCCCACCCCTCCCTGTTTCTGTCTCCTGCTGTCCTGGCTAATTTTACCCAGTTAGCAGATACCAGGGAGATCAGCTGTGGTCAGCTGTCTGTCAAACATCCGGAGTCTTGATAGGCTTTGCAGGGAAATGCTGGAGGTGGCAGAGTGTCGGGTGTCCCAGCCTGCTGTCCTGTCAGACCAGCATACCCCGTCAGACCAGCACACCCATAGTCAATACCCGTTTACCCCTTTAATTTTAAATAAAAAAAAAAGACTTTAAACCACCTCAACAGTCATGTATCCCTTTAGTCATTACTTACTTTTTAGTGTTTTTTGAAGCATATGAAGATCTGACTTTAAATTGTTTTTTTTTTTGTTTTTTTTTTGTCGCCTCCCAAGTTTTATTCTATTTGCATACAAATGTAAGAGTATTTAAAAAAAATGCCTTACATTTGCTCACAAGAGCCAAAGAAATGAAAATGTTTTTAGTGAGTTGAGCACTATTACACCTAAGCGTCGCTCAGCAGAGCAGATTCTTCCTCTATGGAAGCCTTACCTGGTAATCTACAGCACTTATCAGTCCTTCCCTGCAAAATTGTCGCCCCTGTCTTGAATATGGTGATGATAACAGGGTGCAGCTCGAGTTAAGAAGCAACTTCATTCTTTCTAATGTGTCTGTGAGTCGACCGCTGCACGCGCACCAAGCCCTCCTCGTTTAGCCGCCCCAGCCGGTGATTTACTAAACCCTCGTTCCGTCGCCGGGAGAGGACGAGCGTGATTTATGGAAGAGACTTTTAGTTTAATTACTGGGCGGGCAGGTCTGATGTGTTCAGCCCCCATGGCACTGGTTACACACTGCTAGAAACACACGGAGGGGATATCTGGGGGCGGAGGGGGTTACAGCAGATCACAAAGTTCTGGAACTGCCCTTAATGTACTAGCAGTTGGTGTCTAAAACACAGGAGTTAATAAATTTAGATAAAAATAAACAGGAACCCGTGTGGAGGATTATTGGAAAAATGTTTGGAAAGTGAAACGTTACTTTGTTATTCTGTTTCTACATTTTAATCTTAAACTAAATGCAGATGATTACTAGACCAGTAGAGGTATGCTGCACTGTACAGAGCATAGATGGCTCCTGCACACTGCTGGTCAGCTGATTAAAAGATGCAGTGATTAGGGCATAGAAGTTTGAATCCAGAGGTTCTGGGTTCGAGCCCCACTCCCACACACTACCACTCTGGGTCCCTGAGCAAGACCCTTACCCCCACACTGCTCCCCCAGTGGCATGGGTTAAATGCAGAGGTACATTTCTCCAATGTGAGGTCAATAAATTATAATCATTATTATTTTACTCTATTAATAGCAAAACACCAAACATCTTTTCTACATTTTAACTCATCTTTTGACAAAAATCCACTAAGTCAGATCTTTCCCACTTTGATGTGAATTGATCCTCCTTTTGAAATACATTTGATTGTGTATACTTTCTGCAAACAGAGACTTTTAAGCGTATTCCACATGTCAGGCCATGCTGAATGCTAATAGAAGAGGGAAACATGTTTGTAAAGCTGCTATAAAAAAATATTCCCACCTCAGCATGGAGCCGAATGCCGCATCAGCAGAATATCGCAGCTTTGATAGTGATTTGATTAGCTGTAATTGTCATTCAAGGTGAGCGTTTGACCACAGAAAGTGACAGACTTCCTGATGTAGCAGTTTGGCTTCTCTTTCCACTTCTGAGGAAAACCAGCGCTTCATTTATTCGGTTTTTTCTTGCTTTCCTTCCATACCAGCTCTAGAAATTCTGGGTCTATACGCACCAACCAAAGGCAAACAGAGTTGATGCAATTTAGCTTAAAAAAAACAGTTAAAATAAAAATTCATGTTATAATGGATCCTCTATTTCTTTTATTTTCTGATGGGTTCAAAGTTGAATCTTCTACATGAGAACTAGAAGCAGATCACATCTTTTAGGTGTTTTCATCCTTTAAAGAAAAGGAAAGTATGTGGAGTAAGATGTTTAGAGTAAAATGCGTACATATGAATAATATCTATGAGCCAAGCTCTCTGACTGACCCCTACCCTGCACGCTTTCTGCTGCTGTAGGTTTTCTTAACACCTCTCAGCCTTTATTAGATGCCTGACGTTAGCAATGGTTCAATTCATTAAAAGCACAACTCAGCCTTTGTGCATTTGCCTATAAATTGGTATTGATCTCAGGATGGAGGGGGGGTAGGGAGTCTCTGTGTAAGGCTGTGTGGTTGAGGCTAATAGGAGAGGGTCCCAGGTGAACCGGACTCACTGAAGCCACAAGGGCGTCTGCATGGAGAGAAGAGAGGGAATAAAAAGTAGAAGAAATGAAATCTGAGCTGCACATGATGATTTTATAGGAGAGTAAACCAAAGGAAGACAATGCGAGCACATGCTATATAGCAGGGAGGGGAGGGGAGGCGGGGGTGGGGGGACTGCACTGCATGCATGTGCAGCCTGTACACTTCATGGGGAAGAGGGATGGAGGAGCGATGGGACAGGCAGCCGTATA